ATGCAGATCTTCTTGCATTTTACTATTTGTTTTTTTCCTTCTGAGTCGTCATTTAAAATATATAGCAATGTAATACAATTCATAGTGCTCTTTATCATGCAAATCTCCCAAGGCACCTCAGAATAAAATCAATAAAATCAAAAATAAAATCAGCTTAGTTCAGCCGTGGGTTGAATTAATTCATTGTTTTTAAAGCAGAGTCAGGGGAAAAAGGCGTTTTTCACTTCCAGTATCTTTTGCTCGTCAGCTTTGTACTTCACCCCATTTTATTCATGCAGCAGTCAGTGCCAACACGTTGGCAATACTTTCAGCTATCTTGTAGATGGTAGTAATGTAGTAATGCTGATCGTGCTCCTGCTCCCAGACCAGCTTTGATTCTGGAGAGGCTACTTGCTATTTTATCTGATGGCGAGGAGGAAAAGCTTATGCTGAAATAGGTTGACTGTTTGATATCCGTTGGGGGGGGAAAGGAAGCCATCAAATTAACTCATAAAAGCTTTATTTACGATGAACGGACTTTTTTTCCCTCTCTGTCATTATCATCTTCTCTGTAACCTAGTGACCCTGATTATCATGAAGCTGTTTACAAGGTTTAGGTTAATTGGATTTCTTTAACTATTTCCCAGAGCTGTGAGGAGCACAAATCCACTGCTGTGGAGTTCAGAGCATAGTGCAACCCAGTCTCCAAGAGGAAGACGTTTTATTTCATACTCAACTAAGTGCATAGCAGCATGTACCAATCATTTGGCATAATATTAAATAACACCCTCCTTCATACGGATGTGTTCAGTTGCAACTTGTGTTTCCAATACACAAATTACATTTTGCATGTTCAGCAAGAAATGAGCTTATTTTCAACGAGAGAGCCTTTGAAGTGTGTTTTGGTTTGTTTTTTTTTGTTTTTTTTTTCCTTCAGCTTGATAGCAGTTTCACTGGTTTTGTTTTTATACGAGGAATCATGGATAAAATTAGCTGTGCATTGCATGGTTGCCTAAATAAATGAGACAAGAGGATATAGTTGGGTGAGATCAGGACAGTACTCGTGTATACGCTTTGCTCTCATCTCCTCAGGATGCATGCTTGTTCTTTAATGGCACAACATTGCACCCTCCAGGTGCAATGTGCAACTGCAGGTCTACAGATAATCGACTTGTTTTATGAGCTGTGTTTTTGTGAGCAAGCCTTCCGAATTTCTCCTTCAGTATTATTCACCCTCTTTTTCTCTTCCTTTTTCAGGCTTCTGTAGGCTCTGAGAAGCTGTTCTCTCCTGCAGCAAATAAAGGTAAGTGACCTGGAGAAATGCTTTCCTTTTCTTACAGCAAGAGATTCGGGTTGCGAAATCTGTATTGTGAGAATAGCAAGACATCAGTTTTGCCAGAGCCTTTAGTTTGGCCACACACATTGTCATAAAGATCAGCTTTACAGGCTTGTGATGATTAAGTTGAAATTTAGAGCTGCATTGTCTCAGTGTGGGGTGGGATTTCTTCCCTTCCAGTAAGATTTGTAATAAATGTCTTGGAGAGAGGGTTTACTGACAAAGGAGAAATCAGTCCTTGCTGACTTGAAGCATAGGGGATATGCTTTTCTCTCTAACACAATCAAATCCTCGTTTCTTTTAATCAAATCAATATTTTGGTGCTGCCTGTATCCTTCTCCAAGGGCTCGCCCATCCCTCTCCCCTCGTGCCCACAGAGCATTCCTGCCTGTCCGTCCGGGTTCTCCCAGCGCGGGGGAAGGTGATCAGCACATTGCAGGGTTTCAGCTCAGAGCTCCCACTATTCCTGTTAATGAGAGTTACCTGTGATAGGCACTGGGTGTTGCTAAGAGACTGTGCCGTTCACATTCCCCTTGGGAGGCACGGTGACATATCTCTAAATACGCCAAGCCCTCCTCTGAGGGCTCGGTGCAGCCATAAAGCAGGGCTGCTCTAGTTTCATGTGTTCCCAGGGATAATCTCACTGAGATGGATGCTGGGCAAAAATACCGAAGAAACGGCCTTGGAGAGGGCAAACTGTGGTCCATGATGGAAAGCCTTGGGCTGGGAATGGTTCCACATCACCGTGCGAGGGGGTTTGTGTGGCTCCGAATGGGGCATGTGGCTGTTTGCAGCGTGCTCAGCATTGAGCTGCACAATGAAATGGCTTCAGAGCAGTAATGAATGTTAGGGGCATGCAAATACCCCAAAGAGGGGAGATGAGGCCCATCAATAAGAAGTGATGAAATAAACCTTCTTGCCTTATTTCAGTGGGGCCAAGAAAGGAACGATTTCCAGTTGTGTAGGAGTAGGTGCTGGACACGGAAAGGCATTTTGGTGGTTGTGTGCTCCATCACCTGGATCTAGGCCCAGTTTATAGCTGGGCTCTTCAGCAGCAGTAACTATTAGGAATTCTCTTTCTTTCCAAGCTTTGCAGATTTTCAATGCCAAATGTGGGAACCGATGACAAGCCTATTATGTTATTACATTTGCAGATATTTTTTCAAAAGTATGCAGCTTTATCTGGGGGGAAAAGGGAAGTTTAAACAAATGGTGGGGAAGAGCATTTCTCTCCTCTCACTTGGCTCGCTGATAAGGCAAACCAGATTGCCCATACGGCACTGCCTCGGCAAAACAAAAATCTTGCCATCCTGCATAATGCCTGGCACAGAGATCTGCTGGAGAGGCTTATGTTGAAGCGTTAGCAGCTTTGTTGGCTCCTCCTTGTGCTGAAGCCCAAAATCCCCCACCCCTTCATTTCATGGAGCAGCTCAGCAACATGAGTTTTCAAAATACCTCCCTATCAGGAAGTTAAATGTGCGAACGCTTGCGAATTTGCTGTCTTGAAGTTTGTGTTCAGTGCTGTTTATATCCCTGTAACTTCAGCCTGTTCCTGTTTGGTGTAATGTGGGTGTAGACGTTGCCAGCTTTGAGTTCAGATGATGGCTTTTGTCTCAGACTCCTCTTTTACCCTGGTCCTGTACCGGTGTGCCTCGTGATCAGTTTGGGCTGCCATCGTGGGCAAGCTCTCCTGGGGGCTGCCTCAGCTTTTGGCACTTGCCTTGAGAGGTGAGAGAAATTTGCCTCAGCAAGATTTTATGCAGAAACCCAAACAGTGCTAAGTTTTACCCCTCGCCCTGTTATCGCTCCCGAAACGCAGGAGCCGGATTTGTCTCTCGCACATGCAAATGAACAGGACTGGGCTCGGGGCTGCCATATGGCCGCGAGAAAGTGACTTTCAAAGCGCTGCACTTAAATTCCTTTTGTGAGATAAGAGCGTTGATTTAAGGCCATGTTCTCCCGGGCTGGAGCCGTGGTGGCTGTGTGGGGAGGGGATTAGCTTAACACGGTTTCCTGATGGGCACGTCCGTGGCGTGGCACGTGCTCATCCTCTCCCGTGGGCATTTGCATTGTGCCCTTCTTTTGTAAACATTTGCGGCCTTTTTGGAGAGATATTAGCTAGCAAATGTGCAGCATCCATGCTACAGCCTTTATTGAAGGTAACCAGGCTTTTAAAACACATGAAGTGGATTCATTGTCTGGTGCAACCGCCCCGTTCCCAGTTCATTGTCTGTGCAGCTCCCCCTGTCCCCACAAACTTCCCCTGGGGATGCGTTTGGCCCTGCATATTTGTTTTATGCCGTCCCAGTTTATCAGCAGCTTAGCAATGCAATTAAGTATTAAGATAGACGGGTTTCACTTATTTGAGGCTGGAACAGCTGTAAAATGTCACCTTTGACCGTATTTGAGGGCTGCACAAAGGGCCGGAGGAGCAGTGTCTTTGTCTGGGGCTCTCTGGGTAGGGTTTGCCTTTGCCCCCTCCCCGCCGGGGCCGCAGTGGTGGCCGTGCTCCTCCTCCTGACATCAGTTCATCTGCAACAACAGATGCACGGCGTGGACATCCACTTGGGGACCAGTCACTACTGTGCTGCAGGCAGAGGTGTCCTGACCCGGGGTGACCTCGGCAGTCACAGCTGTGAAATGGGCTGAATGGGGCACTTTGAGCTTCCAGGAGAAGAGGAGATTAAATCCTCTGTGTAAGGAAATAATAATTAAAAGTAAGAGGGGAGAAGCCCTGATCTGCTCTGCTGACAGTCTTTGTTTTCTGACTCAGTAAAGCGTTTGTTTGGCCAACTTGTCGCTGCAGCACAGAGTTACAAGGGCATTTGCTGCCGAGGGCCGGGTGTTACATCCTCCTGGAGAATAAATCAATAAGCAAATAATAAAGGTCTGTTTGCTCTCTCATGCAGCTCCTTTCTCACAGGAATCTCCCAGCCAGTGCTTGTTTTTTCTGAAGGGCAAGTGCCAGGAAGGGTAGGGGAGGCGTAGGCGAAAGCCAAATCTGTCCCTCTGTCCCCAGGCGGGAGGATGAGGCAGAGGGATGACAGTGATGGATAGGAGGGCACATGTGTTGTGGGGCTGAGGAGGTGAGAGGGATGGTCACCCCTGAGTCACTGCAAGGACCTCCTCCTGCCTGCTGTGATCATGTTTTGAAGTGTGTGATGTAGGATAGTTTGTATTTTAAAGACTTGAGTGTTGGGTCCTCACTGCTGGCTCCCTCTGTCAGTGGGCTTCTCTGAGAGGTCTGGCTGGAGGTGGGTAAGCTTTCTCCCACCACTCTTTGCTCCAGACCTGCTGTATGCCAGGGAAAGCTGGAGAGGTGGTTCCTTTTCCACCACAACAGCCTTGCAGCTGCAGCCCAGGTGACCTGCTGAGTCCCCAGCATTTGAACTCAGGGCCACTGGCAGGGTTAGGGTGAAATGGGCCTCTTAAGGTAGCTGTTTCCCAAAGGGCTTGGTAGGTCAAGGGCCCCGAGGAGGAAAATCTCCATGGCAGAGTTAAGTGGAGCCTGGGCAGCAGCCCAGGTGTCTCCATTCCTAGCCCTGGGCTGGCTGTGGGTGAGGAGGTGCCTGTGAGATGAAAGGGGTGTCCAGGAGCCCCCAGGGCAAGAGACACCCATGGAGGAGCCAGACCTGCACAGCCACGTCTGCCCTGCAGCCCCGGGGGGCCCTGAGCAGCAGTGGGGACACAAGGGCTTTGGAGTTTGTTGAAGACAAGTGTGTTGCTCCTGTCCTTGGATGAGAATCAAGCTGGGCACAGAGGGAGCAGTGTAATCCATCTATCTGGTGGCACAGGGTGTCTGGCCGGGCCCCAGCCCTGCCCTGGCTGTTGGGGGCTTGCTGAGCCCCACGCCTTGATCCCCCCTCCTGCAAAATGAAGACTAATGCCTGTCAGCCAAGTGTGCTCAGAGACTTAATTAATGAATGTTTGTCAAGCGATTTATCAAGAGATCCTTTTAATGAGAGATTCCATAAACAGTGCAAGGCTTCATTTTCATGGCAATAATAAATGACAGTGAAAGTAAGTCTTATCCTTCCCCCGCATAGGCACCCCCCAGGAAAAAAGATTGCTTACCCTCTGCTCTCGCTTCTCCCTGGGTTTCTAGGCAAAGGGCTTTGAAGTGCTATCTTTCATCATGAACTGTACACATCCTCAAAGCTCTAAAGCTCACAGCCTGTGTCTTATCCCTCTGACAAGAGGGAGGCAAGCTTTCTCGGCATGCAGGTCGTAATTGTCAGCCATGGGATGTGCCGCAGCCACCCGCCCCAGCGGGCTAATGCAGCTTTTGCTTCTTTGAAGTTCCCTCCCTTTATTTTCTGTCCTCTTGACCACAAAACTGTGCCTTGGGCCAGCAAGAGAGATTTCTTGTTCAGAGACGACACTGAGCTCTGACAAGCACATCTGAACCAGAGAAGAACCCTTGTTCCTCTGAGATCACTGCTCCATAATGTTGTTGCCTTAAGGGGACTGTCTCTCCTTTTTCTCTCTGCTTCTTCTCTTCCTTTTTCTTTTCCTTTTTTTTTTTTTTAATTCAGCAGTAAACTGTCACACTAAATCATTTTAAAAGCTGGAACTACAAAACCTCCAGTGTAGGACATGCTGTTAAAAACTGATGGTTATTACTGTGAGATGGGGTGAGAGGGGAAAGGAGGGGCAGGGGCAGGATGGGAGAGCAGCAAGTCAGCTCTCCAGGAGGAACCTGTGAGTGCCTGGTGAAGCAGAAAACAACCTAAATGCAGCTGAGCTCAAGACACCGTGCCTGGCACAGTTTGCAGCAGCACAGCTCGATGGTCTCAGCACTGACAGGGGAATCAGGAGCCCGGTGTCTCCTGGGCTTGCTGTGCTGCCTGCATGCCTTGGTCCTGTCCCCCGGCACTCTATCTCCAGTTGTCAGGGTCAGAGACTCCCTGTCTGGGCTGGGACAGCACCTCCTGTAATCAAGCCCACCTCTCCTTCAGGGCTTTACC